TGTAATAACACCAAAATATGAATACTATTCTTATACCTTTAAAATGCTGCTATAATGTTGGATGTTTACTATATTCTTTTCTTTTTCATTTTTTCTCCTTTGGCAGAAAACATATACAGAGACATATTCCCAATTACATGGGTATTTGATCATCTATTTAGCTAACTTAAGATCTAGCATCCTTGAGTTCCCTCTCTCAAGTGTGTATACTTTAAGCATTTTAATAAGGGTGTATCTACACTGCAGAATTAATGTACTTTGACACCAACTGAACTGCAACAACCCGATGCTAAGGAATCATAGTTGTTTCACAATGTTTTCACCCTATTCTGGTAAAGAGTGCTAGTGATTCTTCAACTACATCTCCCATGATTCCATAGCACTGAGCCATGGCAATTGAAGTGGTATCCAACTGAATTATATAATATAAATTAACCCTAAGATTTAAATTACGTTGTCTCAACTAGAGTAGACCTACTGGAAAAAAAACAACCCACTGAGATAGTTACGTAAATCCCACCAAATCCATGTATCTGCCTTAACTGGGACAAATAATAGGATTCTACTATGGGTATTAATCAATTCTTACTGCTTTATGCCAATAAAAAGGAATGTCAAGTTTTAATAACATATATGATTTCTAACATTAGGTTTTATAAAAAATGCATTTAAATTTCTCCCCGAGTTTCTTTCTCTGGCAAAACATTTTTTCTTCAGTAGCAGTAAGAGACTAAGTAACTGCATGTTATCTTGGATTTAGAAAGACTTATCTCATTCTAATCTTTTTCTGGCTGTCAGTCATTGCTGATAAAGTGCATGCAGAAATCAACAGTAAAAATTAAATACTAATCTATTTCAATGAATGCTCATTCTATTTACTCAGTAGTTTTTTTCCTAGTATTACATGTATGCAGATTTGTGATTCTAAAGAAAAGTGATCTGCATAAGTTTTCTGAGTTAGTGATGGGCCTCAACCTACATAAAGCCAAAGCTACTATATTTAACTGCCCTTAACATACCTTATCAACATTCACTAATTATATTTTTCCAGCTTTGAAATGTTATCACATCAACCCAACTTGTCCCACAGAAAATACCACTACACCAAGTTACTCTGGATGCTGGATCACAGGTGCTGCAATTAGAATTCAATGCAATGCCAGAACAAACTGCACCCCAGTATGCAGGTTTTGTCACAATTTCCTTGATCATTCCCCATCTTTAATGACCAGTGACACTATGAGTATTGAGAGTTGAGGAAAGACATTTTTTCAATAGTGGTGTTCTCCCCACCCCCCTCAACATTTTAAGAGGGCATGGTATAACATGTAAATATTGTTGAAGCCATTCAGTGGAATTGATGAGATTAGCTCCAAACCATCTGCAGAGAGAAGAGATGGTAAAATGTAGTATTTCAGCTACAGAAGAAGAAGAAATTAGGTAGACAAGCAATACTAAGAGAATATTAATTTATCTATCTATCTATTAAAGTATGCATCAATAAAAAAGTATCATTTCCAGACATATGCTGAAAGTGACATGAGAAAAATCTCTTGAGATACAATATACGTATAGTTATTAAAAATGCAGGAAACCTGAAATGTGATTGGAAACTCATCTTACTATGGTAAGATTTTGAACATATAACACATCTGCACTTCAAACTGAATTTCTGTTTCTCATGTATGCATACTAACAGCATGACAGAAGCTCAAATGAACTTTAAATATGTATGGCATTGGCTCAGTCATGAGCTGGATCAATTACATTTTTAGAGTGGGCTGATTTCTTCCAAATAATTATATGCTTTACTTAACATGGTAAATTATGTACTTCACAAGTAGAAAGCAACCTCCACTTAAAATCTAATTATTTCAAGACAGAACATCCCAAACATTTTGCCTTTTTACACATTCTATTTGTATCACAACCACATTGGTTGGTTTCTTGTGTGAATTTCAAACCAGTTTTGTTTGATGTGATATGAGACTCTGCATATGCTCAGATGCAGGTGCTTAATTACTAAGAAAAGGAGATAGCATTTTTCAGGATTGCCTGAAATCAATGCCATCTGTCCTTAGAAACCCTGCTCTCATTCTGATCCTGTGCGTTGGGATACATCCACATATGTATTCTTTAAAAAGTGGGTTCACACAGACTGAGATATGTTTTAACTGCAGCCCTTCGAGCTATGCTCCTTGAACCTCTCTCTTTCTACCCGCATATCTGCAGGGGATATATTCCTGGGATTTGCATGGATACTTGAAACGATTGATATAATAGTGATTATTATTGACATGAAGAACTGTTGGCCCAAAAAGACCACAGAATCAGACTGGAGGACCTAAAAAGTAGCTAAGGGCAACAAATAGCTAAGGGAAGTGGATAAATGAAACAATGTATGCCAGTTACGTGGGTATGGAGGTTGTACTGTATATTCCAAATTTCAAGGCCTAATAGTGAAAACTGATGTTGAGTTCTAGAACAAATTCATCCACCACACATCTTATTATTTATGTACATTGTACACAGGTAGCAGGGGTAAGCAAGCACTGACACAACCAGGTATAGATTCATCTTCAATTCTAAACCCCAAATCAGAAAAAAAAAATTACAAAACATTGTCAGATGGATAAGCAGTTCTTACTTTAGGGTCACGGAAAATTATTCCTTTAAATTATTAAGACAGATATAATAAGAAATACTGTGTTTTATTCCTCTATATTCTCTTCAATCTTGTAAAGTCCAAAACTTTCTCAACCTATTTAAAATAATTAAACTGGAACATTTTAAAAAATAAATCCCTTAGGATTTTAGAATCTTCTGCAACACAGCCTCTTCTTATAACTTACACCCATGTTCTAAGGTATTTTAAAGAGGATATATCACAAGACAGAAAACGTACTATCCAATAATAGCATTAAGATTTCTTAGTGCATATATCCACCACCGCTTCAACACTGACCATTTTGTGCAGTTCAACACTAGTATCAAACTGGGACAGCTAGATAACAAACTCCTATGAAAGAAAACCCTTAATGTGCACTAGTGCTGTGGTTTGTGAAATTACTATCTGGGCATCAAACTGGTTTCAGGATTTCCTATGTCATTATCTGTTCAGCAAAACCATTTTTTTTTCAATACCAGTTTGCAACTGACTTAAATTATCAATATAGAGGGGGCATTACATCAACAGAGCCTTTGGTGTTAGGAATTGTGGGAGTTGAAGTCCAAAACACCTGGAGGGCGGAAGTTTGCCCATGTCTGCTTTACATTTGTGATCTCTGTGTTGTTTTGAATATTTCACTTGCTCTGTATCACTTTGAGGGCCCTGGGAAGCAGGGAAGCAATATATCTATCTAGATCAGGCATGGGCAAACTTCGGGCCTCCGGGTGTTTTGGACTTCAATTCCCACAATTCCTAACAGTTGTTAGGAATTGTAGGAGTTGAAGTCAAAACACCTGGAGGGCTGAAGTTTGCCTATGCGTGATTTAGATAGATAGATAGATATCACAAAGATATAATTTTTCCATTCAAATATTTGTTTCTAGTCTGGGTAAATGGTCTGCACTTTAGGACTTTGGGGCAACTTCACCACTCCTCTGGTGTACCACAAATTAGTTCATACATTTGCGCAAATAAGCAAACTTGCAAAAGCATTTTGTTCTTAAGTAAAAGACTTCATTAAGCACAGGCTTCATTTAGGTCATTGTAAAAAAAAATCTTGGAGGTGTCTACGGAAATGGAGATGAGCACCACACCCAAGTTGAACATGACTGGACTCAATGTCAGGGAAAAACATTTACCTTTTAACCTTAAAAAAATTATTCCCGCTATTATTAACATTGTAAACCACTTCTTCCTTAACCTCCAGGTCATGCCTCAACAATCTTCCATTACTGATTTAACTCCCAAGAAACGTCAGGGGAAAAAAGTAAAATAAGATCATTAAAAAGCGTACTTTTTGACTTGACTTCCTCAATGAACACAGTGCACTTAAAACTGAACATTAATTAAACCTCAAACTCACTCACACAGGGACAGCTTAAAACAGGGGTCCCCAAACTATGGCCTGTGGGCCAGATGCAGCCCTCCAAGGTCATGGACTTTAGACTTAGGGCTAAAACGACTTGAAGGCACACAATGATAACAATACTATTTACCTTGACTCTTATCAGCCAAAAAGCAGGCCCGCAGTTCCTATTGAAATACTGGTATGTTTACGTTGGTTAAAACTGTTCTTCATTTTAAATATTGCATTGCCTTTTGGCACAAAAAGTAAAATATGCAGTGTGCGTAGGAATTGGTTCATGTTTTTCTCTCTCTCTCAAACTATACTCAAACTAAGTTTGCGGTGCCCCGGCCCAAATGAATCGCTCCACCTTGAGGCAGATGCCCGAGCGGTCCCGTGCAGCCTCCTCCGCACTAGACCCAAAGCCAAGCAAGCCCTGCTCGACCGAGAGGCGCAAAGCCCCGTCCACGGGAGCAAAGCCTTCCTCCACTGCAGGAGCCAAACCTGCCGCGGGGGAGGACACAAAACGTGAGCAAAACCACAAGGGCGTCGCTGGAGGAATGAAGAAACACTCCCAATTATTTGCGAAACGAGCCTGGCTCGGAAAACACGTCCGAGAAAAGAAAAAAACCCAACCAGAATGGAGGCCACCTGCCGGGAGGTGAGAGAGGCCGGAATGCCCTTCGCCGGGCCCTCTGGGCGCCGCGGCAGGCAAACGCTACCTCAGGCCCCTGTCGGCCCCGGCTCCCGCGCCCCACTGGGCCTCGCGGCGCCAAAAGCCCGTCGGGCACCGTGAGGAAGGCCTCAAGGCCCACTCGGGCCTACCGGGCCTTCCTGTCCGGCTCGGCCCTGCCCTGCCCTGTCCTGCCGGGGCCCTGCCGCGCTGTAGGCCTCGCCCAAGCCGGGCGGGGAGAGGAGCCTGAGGGGCCGCCTCACGCCCGGAGACCCCTCCCGCCGCCTCCGGGGGCCTCCCCAAGGTCGTCTTACCTGCCGGGGCCTCTGGCGACCCGTCCCGAGTCAGGCGGCGGGACCGAGCCGGAATTTGCCCGGAGAGGCGTTACGTAAACCGGCGCCGGCCCCGCCGAGGGGAGGAACAGCGGGATGGGCGGGGCGCCCTTTCCGACCACTGCGCATGCGCAATGCGGCCGCTTGGCCCCGCCCCGTATCCTTCCGCTCAGAGGCCTCCTTGGAGGGCGGATTTGGCGGGGCGGGGACAGCCCTCAGGGCCAGGCCAAGAGCGCTTCCTTGTCCTTAAAGGGGAAGAAGGGCGGCCTGGTTGGAAGCCTTGCTAGGCCACATTTACACTGCCATACTATGTCGGGTGAAACTGCATTATACCATCTCTGTATAGACTCATTCTGTCCCAGTGTAGGTGGAGTCGTGGGGCCCTTCCACACAGCCCTATATCCCAGAATACCAAGGCAGAAAACCCCACAATATCTACTTTGAACTGGGTTATCTGAGTCCACACTCAGATAAAGTGGGATTTTCTATCTTGATGTTCTGGGATATAGGCCTGTATGGAAGGGCCCTTAGGCCCCTTCCACACAGCTGAATAAAATCCCATATTATCTGCTTTGAACTGGATTATGTGGTCTCAGATAACCCACTTCAGATATTGTGGGATTTTCTGTCTTGATTATCTGGATTATATGGCTGTGTGGAAGGGCCCTTAGGCCCCTTCCACACAGAAGTATAAAAATCCACATTGAACTTGGTCTACACTGCCATATAATCCAGTTCAAAGCAGCTGCTGTGGATTTTTACACAGTTGTGTAGAATGGGTCTTTTATGCTGTCATGGGGAAATCCCACATTATCTGAGTATGGACTCAGATCACCCAGTTCAAAGCAGATATTGTGGGATTTTCTGCTTAATATTCTGGGATATAGGGCTGGGTGGAAGGGCCCTCATTTATTGTGGGCCCTTCCAGCGCTCTTCCACACAGCCCCATATCCCAGAATATCAAGGTAGGAAATCCCACATTATCTGAGTATGGACTCAGATAACCAAGTACAAAGCAGATAGTGTGGGATTTTCTGCCTTGATATTCTGAGATATAGGGCTAGGTGGAAGGACCCTCATTTATTGTGGGCTCTTCCACACAGCCCTATATCCCAGAATATCAAGGCAGAAAATCCCACATTATCTGAGTGTGTACTTGGATAACCCAGGGCCCATCCACACAGCCCTATACCCCAGAATATCAAGGCAGAAAATCCCATAATATCTGCTTGGAACAGAGTTATCTAAGTCCGCACTCAGATAATGTGGGATATAGGGCTGTGTGGAAGGGCCCATGAGATGTAGCACTTGGTTTTTCCTCATGCTGAATGTTGTAATAAAGGAAGTTCACACCAACCAAACAAAGCTGCTCCCTTTTGTTAGATGCCTCTTCTGTTTGGTACTTCAGAATAGTGCTCTACCTACTTATGTAATAAGTCATCATCCTTTTTGAGATGAACACAGCATGTTTGTTTGTTTAATTAATTCCTGCCAGTTAAACAGATCCAGGGCCCTTCCACACAGCTGTGTGGAAGGGGCCACAGTTAAACACATGCTAAACACATGACAGTAAGATCTATAATAATAATAATGAGAATAATAATAATAATAATAATAACAAACTTTATTTATACCCCGTCACAATCTCCCACCACAGGGACTCGGGGCGGTTTACATGAGGCCAAGCCCGAACAACAAAATACAATAAAATAAGATACAAATTGCAATAAAATAAACAACATAGCATTACAATATAAAACATATAAGCATATAAACAATAAAGGAACAGGATTATTTGTAAGGGAGAAATCATAGAGAGACAGGGAAATAATCGGACCTTCGTACAAGGGGGGGGGGCGGTATACTCCTAGGGCAAAAATGTTGAGTCTAGACTCTAAGTCTCACACCTTGTTGCCTGTTTTTACTTATTTTCTGTGGCCTTACAATATCACCATACACCCACCCTCCTACTTTTGATAACACCCTTCTAATACAGAAAACTGATATCTGAATGTATCCCAGGGCACTTCCACACAGCCCTATATTCCAGAATATTATGGCAGAAAATCCCATAATATCTGCTTTGAACTGGGTTATCTGCCTTTATATTCCGGGATATAGGGCTGTGTGGAAGAGCCCCCAACCTTTCTTAAATTTAGTCAGTTGCTAATTCACACACCTTCTTGCATCTGGGTAGCTGAGTCTTCTGTCTCTGGGGATAGACAATTCTCTCTACCATAATACTATGCGACATGATTTTTATTCCTGGGTTATAAATGTCATTTCCTAATTGGTTCTGTCATAAAAACATGGGAAAAGTTAATTAAACTGCAAAAACTTTGTTTTTGCGGGATATCCTACAACACATTTTGCTACAGTTTTTCATCAAGTCTCAAATAATTCAACAGAGTTTGTGGCTGCCACAAAAATAATCAAGTTTCTGGAATACAACAACTACTTTCAAAGTAAATACTGAACAATTAAACGGGAGTAACACTTTCAAACCAGGAACAGATTTTTTAACCCAGATTTTGTTATATAGTGATATAACAGTAGTCTCCCATGTTTTCTCTCTTGCTGATGATCTAGCATCCCCAACGATGTAATTTTAGCCATAACAATGTCTTCTAACATATGTCTAATATTTCTGATACTTTTTTGCAAGACAAATAACATTAGGTGTCTTTATAAAGAAAATAATTGCTCTTCCATCACTTTATGAAAACATTATTTTCATTCACTTTTGCAGGTAATGCTGCAAAATGAATTTGTTTCCCCTTTCAAATACTAGGAAGTAATTGCAAAATGATGGTCCAGCTCTGGAGCAATCTGGAGGCCAAATGTACATGGTCACAAGGAATGCCTTGCTCACTTCAGGAGGTGTTGAAAAACAAGGGGTTTCCACTGAAAAAAGACTGCCGCACTTTGTCACAGGTTTAGACTGAATTGAGCAATGTTTGATTTTGTGGTGTTTACTAGGAATTCCAAATTGATGTGTCTATTCTTGGCTGAAGGGGCATTGCAAAATGTTATTTTTGCAGCAGAATATTGCTAAACTTTTGTCAGTTTGGGAGGCCATTTGAAATTTCAGGATTCCAAGTTCTGTGCTCCTTTAGAGGACAAAGGGAGGTGTAATTTGTAAAAGTCACTAATATAAAGCAACAGCTACCATTTAAAAACAGCTTCTCCCTGGGGGAAAAAAAGCATTGTAGGAGAGAGACAACCCTAATACAATATTTACTCAACTCTAATACTCACAATTTTTAACTAAAGTATCTTCCCAAAATGAGGGTGCACATTAGATTAGTGTAATCTGGTACATACTTTTTGGGGTTTCAGGCTTCTGAAAACTGAGATGTGCAATAGATTCGATGGCACATTAGACTTGAGTAAATACAGTAATTCTTATGTGTAGCTAAACTCATATGCTGTCTTCTAATAATCAAGTTGAGGATATTTACCAGTATGTGGTTGTGTGAGGGTTTTCCCCCACTTTCTAAAATTTATCTATTAAATCCCAGTTTGGAAATACCTAAATTACACACTTCAAGTTTTGACCCTATAGCTAATTATTAATTAAATTATTTACCAGCACAAAGTTGATTTTGTCCATAAGATTTAATTAATTTAATGGAAAGTTAAAATTAGGCCAAGGAAGGGGAATGCAACTTGCTGGAAGAAATGCGCTTTTGTTAGTTACTAGCACTCTGGAGCAGAAAAAGCTAAAGACATTGTAAAGCTGTTATGTGATTTCAGCTCTGCAATAACCACAAATTCAAGTTTCCGGCGTACCTGAAATAAGATATAGCAGAGGATCAGAGGCTTTTACTATTTTGGACAAAATTAATGTCAGGAGAGTCTGCACTCTCAAATCAGACATAAAGGCAATTGCAATATATAGAGACATTTATAGTGGTTTGACATCTATTCAAACAATTGACTTTGGCTGCCCTGAGCATTGATTGGTTCAGGCTGGGATCTCTGCACTGATTGGTTGAAGTGCAGCATCTACCATTGCACCTGATTGGATGCCAAGGCTGGCAGGAAATTTAATAAAATGTCCTTGCTCAGTTTGAAGTTTGCAGCTGTTTATTGGGTCTAGCTTTAATAAGTACATGAGGTATAGGAATGTGGGAAGGGTCCAGGTTGATGGATGCTAATGGCTATATTCCTGGCTATTGGGATCCTTTTGCAGTCCCAGGCTTTCAGCAACAAAGCTACAACTCTGGCAACCCCATTGCAATGAGCGATGGCAACTAAAGTATTTATTTCTCTTGTTTTGGTGGGGTTGCAAAACTGCAGGGTTTTGTTGCCAAACAACTGCAAGATTTGGGGCCAGGTTTGGAGATTCCAAAATTTTAGGACTGTAGCACCGTAGTATTAATGCAATGTGATACTGCTTTACCTGCCTTGGCTCAATGCTATAGAATAATGGGAGTTGTAGTGTGGTGAGGCACCAGCACTCTTGGGCAAAGAAGGCTAAAGGCCTTGTAAAGTTATAGCTCCCATGATTCCAGAACATGAAAGTGGTGTCCAAGTGCATTAAGTTTCCAGTGTAGATAGGCACTCATAGTCAACAAAACTGTAAAATGGCCCACTTCATTCCTTCATGGCTCCACCTACTTCTGCAGTAGCCTTAAAACTTTACACACTGCAGATAAAATGGAAAACCTAGCTCTTCTGGCAGGCCTATGTAGTCAATTTGCAATTATGAATGCTAAATTAACATTATATTTGTATTTAAATATATGTATTTGAATGGCATTTTAATACTTGCACTACATATTTTAATTTTATGTATGTTGTGATGGCATGTTTTAATGTATGGATTTTATGTCATGTATTTTGTGGTGATGTGCTTTTGCCATGTTGTGCCCTGCCCCAAACCATGAGGAGAGGCAGATAACTGCTGGCGTTGGCCTTTAAAGCCCTAAACGGTTCTGGCCCAACTTATCTATCCGAACGTATCTCAGCCTATCAGCCCACCAGGACCCTAAGATCTTCTGGAGAGTCCCTGCTCTCTATCCCGCCGGCTTCACAAGTGCGGTTGGCGGGAACGAGAGACAGGGCCTTCTCTGTGGTGGCCCCTCGGCTTTGGAACACCCTCCCTTTAGAGGTACGA